GCCGAACATCATCCCAACCCTCTGGTGGTAAGCGCAGCAAATTACCAACCCGACACAAACGCGAACGTCAACAAGCGTCGCCCGCGAAACGTCCTCATCGACCCGGTCGAGGAAGGGGCCTTAGATACGCCGGACCCACCGCCGGGGGTCCCGCCGGATAACACTACACCCACAGCTAGTGTAACAACAAACACAATAGTTCGCCCTCGCCTCCGAGCACGGCGAGACCAACACAACGCGTACACAAGGTACACCCGCGTTCCAGGGCGGTTCTCACCGCCCCCAGCCACCGATTAGCTAAAAAACACAGTCGACGGCCATCGGGGTCTCGGTCCGCACCGCAACTTCGATGGCCCTTAGATGACATGTCGTTGTTAAACGCACGCATGAGCACATGCGCGGCCCTACCCACAGCGGAGGGCCCAAACCCGTGGGTTCTGGCTAGCCCACCGGTTCTGCGTCAGATGAAGCTTTAATAGTCTCGGGACTGAAAGCAAAAACATCAGTTAATACAAGATACAAGAGTTTTCACTGTTTGGCGATTGGGCACGGTCGTCCGGAGAAGTAGAAGGGCCTCACAGAACATCGACGTGAAGTGGAAGTGTCATATTTCTGCATTTCATCTGGTAGTAGGGATGGGCAAGTAAAAGAAATATATCGATTTTCATCGTATCGACATTTTAAAAAGTATATAATTATCGAGCGAAAAATATCGATATACCGTCATTTTTCGCATGTTGATTTATACATATTTTCAAACCATTCAAATTCATAAAATAGAACAGACATGAAGAAAATAGTTGAAATTTATTATTTTGTTGTTATTTTTTTTATTTAAACAGAGTAACCAAATGAAACATCATGTGATGTCATGTCAGAGTAACCAAACATGAAGTGTCGGAATAAACGTCTTATGTCTTAAAAGAGTTTTTTAACGATACGCGAGGAGCATGCAAAGAGTATCTAAAAGTATATCGAAATTGACACGAATTCGACTGTCTAAAATAAATATCGAATAACGATAATTGTATAGAAAAATATCAAAATTTTTATATATCGATATTTTTGCCCATGCATGCATGTGTGATAAGGTAACAGGGGCTCACTTTATTAAAAGGTGGCAACGCAACCCTACGGATGTTGTAGATCTCCATGTTGCCAGCTTGAATTTAACCATCTCACATAAGCAAGCCGGTCAAGTGCGAGTCCCCGCCGAGGGCGGCGTACGAGTTGGACACCATAATTAGTAGATATGGAACCCTTTCCATGCCTACTCATTATGGTGGTAATAATACAGTTAATTAAGGAAAATAATCGATGACTCCGTGGCGTAGTGGCTAAGGTATTGGCTTCGGCGTCGGGGGTCGTGGGAACCTTAAAAATTTGTCTTATAAATATCTAAAATATTTGAAAGATCAGAATGTTTCTTTAGCAATTTATTACGATTAAAAGCCTCATCGCATAATAATATGTGCACTAGGAATGTTCGCGTGTGTCCGTGAAAAGTGTAATTAGATTACACGTAGCACATATTGGTATTAGCACGTATTGGTACTGCTCGATAACTAATCAATTAAGCCGGCACAAATGGCTCACTACATCCACGCAGCCCGGGGGCTTATTAATGAATCCAGGCCGTAATTTGTTACCGATAAGAAATATCATCGTGGTCAAGGTAGCTCGGGGTGACACAGCGAGCTATGGAAAGGGTAATGCTTGGGGTTTCTCTACGAGATCAAGTCAGAAATGGGGAGATCCGTAGACGAACTAGAGTTACCGACATGACAGAGCGAGTCAGCAGGCTGAAGTGGCAGTCGGCAGAGCGCATCGCTCTGAGAACCGAAAGCCGTTGGGGCAAAAAGGTTCACGAGTGGGCGCCGCCCACAAGGTGGACGTACGAGCTAATTAAGATCGCTGGGGCGCGTTGGATGCAGGTCACTAACGATCGGTCGAAAAGACAGTCAATGGGGGAGGCCTATTCAGTGGACGTTCAGCAGTGGACGTTCTACGGCTGATATGATGATGATGATGAAGAAGAAATGTCCCATTGATGGTCTTAGACGAAAAAGTCAGTCGTTAATTCCATGTAAGATCTCTTTCGATGACGAAACGAATCCTTAGTAAAAATGTCTCAGATTTCAGCGTGAAGGTAACAAATGCATGAAACAGAAGTGTCACAAATACGTCAGTTAAGTAAATTTATAGCATTTAATAATATCACTATAATATTCAGTACAGTGGCAGAGACTTCAAAGCTTATAGATACCAAATGCCACGTTCCAAGTTAGGAATAATGCAATAATGCAGTCACCACAGATAACAGATGATGATTTGAGGAAGACACTTCCTCAACAAATACAAGAAACACAGAAATATTGTCCGCGAAATTCTGATTCACTAATCGGTGGTAATTCAATGACGTTGACACTTTTTCTATTTCTTCAAAATTCGTAAATCGTAATCACTACCTCGCATAATCAACAAAAATAACATCCAAACGTTGCAATTTAATGAGATCGTTTTAAGAGATTCAATCTATAATTTATCTATTTTAAGAGCACTGTGACGTACATCTTCTAAATTTAATCGTTGTTCTTAAAGTAACGCTCAGAAGCACCCACGTGGAGCTGTCCTAAGAAGTCATTTGCTAGCGGGTAGGGCGGTGCATAAGATACAAATTACACAAAGTTAAGATACAACAACAATAAAGAACATAGGTAAATAAATGTAACGTAGATTCTTAATTATTATTTATGTCCCTAACAGTTTATAAAAAAAATTCTAAATGCGTTTGTAGATAATGAGAAATGCGTTTATTTCACCTTACGTAAGGTAATATTTGTTAGATCTGGTACATACACCAGTTAAACCTAAGTTCAGTTGTTTATTATTTCATTAATAATATCTCAAGAAAGTTTTAATTACAAAATCTCCCATAACACTAAATAAAAATTCTGTGCTTATATGAAATAATATCTTAAGTTATCCACTTAGAAAATAATCCGCGACACGTACGGAAAACTTTTGTCATAATAGACGACACGGACTTAGTCGAAAATGTAATCAGGAAAAATTTTCCCAACTTATTATTAGATGTTCATTCGGTATAGTGTAACATTTTGTAAATACTCCTTGCGAAGGCTGTCTTAGGAAAATAAATATTTCTCAAATAAATTTTAAATTTTTATATTCAACTTTTATTAATAATAAAGATTTTTAAATAAAATTATTTATGCTACTATCATAAAAGCTCCGCCTGTGGCTCTATCGGCGCCACCTTCGCATTATTTCATATACTGTTCTTCTAATTAATTCTTTTCCTGAAAATTTTTTGTGCCTGATTAGTTTTTGATCTAAGATTTTAAAGCCAAATGGTAGTTGGAGAAAGACTACAGCCTGACAGGTTTCCAGGCTTCCTCCAATCAATCTAGGTCGAAAAGCCCCCCCTGCGGTAGCTCGCTGAGCCCTCCATCATGATTGTCAATATAAATACTTTTTGACAAATTGATAACAACTGGCAACAAAGTGCTATTGATTCAATTGATTATTCAGTTATAAGCCAAAAAACAGTTACAGATCGAGCAAATTTTATTTTTACTTCTTTTTAATATATAAATTAAACCAGGGTTTGTGTATTTTCCTTGCATAAGTGTCAAGACACAAAATCCTGCCATGGAATACAAAATTAAAAGGTGCTTTATAATTTTCTTATTTGAAAACCTTTAATAGAAAATCATTGCGTAACATATACTTTACGATTCTTTATGAAATGTGTAAGTTACAATAAAGACCAAATGCGAGTCAGACTCGCGCATGAAGGGTTCCGTACCATTACGTATAAAAATGACAAAAAAATCATGCCTGTTGTATGGGAGGGGCTCCCATACAACAAAAAAATATATGAGTGGGGCACTCTCATATATTTTTTTATTCTGTTTTTTGACGCTACGCTAGGTCAACAGAAATACATCATCTGTGAAAATTTCAACTGTCTCACTATCACGGTTCATGAGCTACAGTCTGGTGACAGACGGACAGACAGACAACGGAGTCTTAGGTAATAGGGTCCCGTTTTACCCTTTGGGTACGGAACCCTAAAATACACACAAATCCGAAAACGGGGTGGCACTTAGTACCTGAAGGATGTAAGATGTGAACATACGAGAGACATTGATCGAAGGGGTTGGCTTTCTTTAGGCATTTAAAACATGAACATTCGTTTACATTCGTGAATGTTGCTATACAAATTATTTTTTAAGATGAATTTATACAAAAAGCTGTACGTTCAAAGGGATGGGTGATAAAGTATATGTTCCTTACACTTCAAGGTTATCTAGCTTTGAGCTTTCTCTTCTTTTGAAGTTTTAATTTAATGGAATAAATTGCGTAACACCTTTACGACTATTGGTATCTGTTTGGTTACTTTCAACGGTGAAATTTGAAAACTTACTTTATTTGACAACTTTTATTAATGAACAAAGCATCAACTAAAATACGATGTTATCCAAAGAACATGGTTGAGTTGAGCCTCGTTATATAAGATACGTACTATATCTGATTTCTAGGTGTAATGTGCTGCTTCTTGAATAAATAAACGTACATCGATCACTACTGAAGATACAGTAAGCTTATACTTTCAGATCCAAGAATGCAATTGTTTTGAGACGTCTTACAAAAGACCGAATAACACGCTGTCAGAATACTTTATTTTCCACGTTACTTTTAATATAATAACGCCTGAAAAGGAAGCTCATACAGTATTGTCTTATTATATGACCCTTTGTTGGCGACCACAGCTAACTTCCCGATTTGGCAATTGCTTTGTTGTTATTGTATACGGATTGTTTTGTAATGATCAATTGTTAACGTGCTGGAGCGATTTGGGCGCAGTTATTAACTACCGATCGGCCGCACAAATTACATGCACACGGAAACTTTAATACGGAAATGGAATAATATAGCGGTTAATGACGGCGCTGGATTCGCTCAAGTCGAAACTAAGTTCGTTGCAGGCTCAGGAGGTCGTACTCGACATCGTAGCGGGGTGTAGCGGGCGAGGGGCGGCGGGACGGCGGGGCGGTGGGGTGCAGGAAGTTGCGAGGGCGTGCGGCGCGGCGGGCGGGCGGCGAGCGCAGTCGGGCGCCGGCTGCGGGCGGCGGCGGTCGGCTCGGGAGCAGGATGCGCGCGCTGGCCGCGATCGCGGTGGCCTGCTGCTGCGGCGTGCCCGCCTGCTGCGCCGCACCGCCCAACGCGCACCTCGCGCCGCGCAACTCTACGCCAGCGCGCACGCTGCACTGTACCGACGGTTTGGTGCTGCCCGCGTGGCAGCCTCTGGACGATGTTCCGACCCTGGACCTCACCATTCGTGGTCTTGTCTACTTCTTCGCGCTCCTCTACCTTTTTATAGGTGTCTCCATCGTATCCGACCGTTTCATGGCCGCTATTGAAGTTATCACCTCTAGGGAGAAGGAGGTGCGCGTGCGACGGAACGGCAGCGAACAGATCATCGTAGTGCGAGTTTGGAACGAAACCGTGGCCAACTTGACGCTGATGGCGCTGGGCTCCAGCGCACCGGAGATCCTGCTCTCCGTAATTGAGATCGCAGGCAAGAATTTCGAGGCCGGTGACTTAGGGCCGGGAACTATTGTTGGCTCGGCCGCATATAATTTGTTCGTCATTATCGCCATTTGTGTCGTAGTTATTCCTGATGGGGAGGTGCGGAAAATAAAGCATCTACGAGTGTTCCTAGTCACTGCTACGTGGTCGGTTTTCGCTTACGTGTGGCTCTACTTAATCCTAGCCGTTATCTCACCTAGTGAAGTAGAAGTATGGGAGGGCGCTGTCACTTTTCTGTTCTTTCCCGCTACGGTGATGACGGCATACATTGCTGACAGACGCCTCTTAGTGTACAAGTACCTGAAAAAAGGTTATAGGGTTAATGAGAGAGGTGTAATAGTAGAGGTGGAAGGCGATGGATCAGTAGAAATGGCTCTAAAACCAGGCGAGGATTTCGCCTCGGATGACGAGGAGGGCCGCGAGCTAGAGAAGTCTAGGCGAGAGTACATTTCCGTGCTCCGTGAATTAAGGAGACAACATCCGGACGAAGACCTGGAGACTGTAGAACGAATGGCTCTAGAGAAATTGATGTCGCGGGGCCCGAAGTCGAGAGCGTTTTACAGGGTGGCGGCGACACGGAAAATGACGGGCGGCGGTGACTTCTCGCGGAAGATATCAGAAAGAGCTCAGAGTGACCTTAGTGAAGTGAAAGCTGAAATACAGAGGCGTGAGTCCGGCTCTCTGTCACCGGAGCCCAAAGGGCCTAATGTGAGGTTCGATCCCGACCACTATACGGTCATGGAGAACTGCGGCTCGTTCGAGGTCAGGGTGGTCCGACGCGGTGACTTGACCGGGGAAGTGACCGTCCAGTACACGACGGAGGACGGCACGGCTGAGGCGGGCTCCGACTACATCGCTGCGCAAGGCTCACTCACGTTCGCCCACGGGGAGTCGGAGAAGAGTTTCAGCGTGGAGGTGATCGACGACGACGTGTTCGAGGAGGACGAGCACTTCTACGTGCGGCTCAGCTCGCCGAAGGGCGCGACCCTGGCCTCCCCGTCCACGGCCACCGTGATGATTCTGGACGACGACCACTCGGGTGTGTTCTCGTTCCCCCAGAGGGACTTCGACCTAATCGAGTCCGTGGGCACGTACGAGCTGCGCGTGGTGCGCACCGCCGGCGCCAGGGGCAAAGTGAAGGTGCCTTACTGGACGGAGGACGGCACCGCCAAGGGCGGCGCTCAGTACGAGGCCGCGCAGGGGTTCGTCGTCTTCGAAAACAACGAAACAGAGTGAGTTATATAACGTGTTTTCTATTCATTAAGAGAAACGAAACTAAAAGATATTTATTCAAACGATTTGACAAGTACTTAGAACTTGTATAATAAATAGTTCGTATTTACTTAGTCCCACAGTAAATAGACGGAAGCCAAGCAAGTGGACGGTCGCTTTCATAACGAGAATAGGCAAAGAATGTTATTATAGCTAAGTTAGTTATCGCACCGAAAGTACTCGGGACGTTGTGGGGCTTCGCGAGAAGCCGCAAACATTGCGGACAGGGCATTAGGAATTGTCGGGGCGATTACTCGCGGGTGGACGGGTGGGTGACCTTCGGCACGGCGAAGCGGTGGACCCCACGCCCTGCCAATAATCCACCAAGATTATCCTGTTGCCCTATTCGTTAATTCTCTCGATATTGGGGCGAAGATACTAAATACATTATTCGTTTACGGGGTAAGATTAAGATCAAGACATTAAATAGCAATAAAAATCTAATTCTTCCTATGTGAAAAGAACACGTCTAATTGAGACAGGATGAATTTTTCAAAGGAGTGTGGATGTTTAAATCCAAATAAATTAGGAATAGTGGAAAATACTCAAAGGAGTCTCGGTTAAAAGTAAAACTTTATTCGATTTTTGACCCAGGAATCGAACTCACTGATTTTGGAAGAAAAAATACAAACTGTGTTATTACATTATTCGATAATGTCGCTAATAAGGATCAAATTCTGGGAAGTTACGACATATGCTAAACTTAAAGAAAATGTTGAATTTTAATAAACCGGTATTATGAAGTCAAAACTTCTTTAGACGCGGTGACCTATTTTTAGGTGTGGAAAACTATTGGACCCTAAATAACATTTACAGGCAACCGAAGGGTTTTAAAAAAAATAAGCAAGGCGTTTTATTAAAAGCGTATTAAAAATTAACTATTTCCTCCAGTTTACCGTATGTCACCGTTTCCTAGATTACATTGTATATTTTTTATTTAACGTATATATTTATATATGATGTTTGCATTTTTTTTATGCGAAAAGTTGTCAAACGAGCAGACGGTTCACCTGATGTTAAGTGAATACCGCCGCCCATGGACATCTGCCACACCCGAGAGTTACAGATGCGTTGACAACCTTTTAAAAATTGGGCTCCGGCTACCTCACTCACCACACGAAACGCGAAAGTATTTGTCATACTTCAACTTTACGCTGGTCTTCTGTGAGGTCGTGGTACTTACCCGGGCCTGCCCATTCGTGCAACAGCCAAGGCTGCTGCGTGGCACTACCACCGTAATGCATGTGTATTTATGTATAATTTATTAATATGTATTTATATTTTTAACTTATTAGTTTCTGTTATGAATTCAGTGTATACCGTTACCCGATGCTACTGTTTTTACTATCTCCTTTTACTAGGTTGCCTGGAAGAAATCGCTTTTTAGCGATAAGGCCGCCTATTGTACAGTTTTGTGTTATTTTTTGTTGATTATGCAATGTCCGTTGTTTGTGTACAAAAAAGTATATTTCATTCATTCATTCATTGTACACTATTATTAGAGTACTCATAGTCGCCCGCTTGAAAAATTCACATTGAATAATATATTGCGTTCAACATCATGATGGATGGTAAAGATTTGGGACATAATAATCAAAAGAAGTTCGTTAGTTAAAAAGTGATCACAAACAATATGAGACAGAAAGGATCATTTACACTTAACAAATCCGAAAAAAGGTGCAGGTCCATTTGGAATCAATCAGAGGAGCCACTGACCATCTGTGTCTGCAAATACTCGTTTATTAATATTTATTCATTTGTATGATGCAACTCTTATATTTCTTTAAAATTGTAACCATTTCATCGATGCTGGTAGTGGGATTTGAATTATGGTTGTTCCAGTATGCAGCAATTCAAAGCTCGTGCTCGATGGCATAGTAACCGAGTTTCATCTATCAGTGGGACATGTAAACATTTGTGTAAGAATGGTCCAATAGTTTAATGTATGTAGTATCTTCTGCCCAACATTATTATGTAAAAAAGTGTTTACTTATATAAATATCCACGACTGAACTTCACACACGAGTCCAACTGGGTTCACATCTACAGAAGGTCAGTACGAGAACGCCGGAACACGTACGTTCTTGTTGAAATACCACGTCGTGCGTATTAATTTTGGAATACAATTTAAGGAGAAAAGTTAGCCTTCGCCTTATTTAAGTAGTCATAACAATGCAAGTTGCAAAAACTCGTTTTTAGGTAATAAATCAAATGTTCCACCCGTGCCGCGGCTCGTTTCAAAGCAGACGTACTCGTAGCATCGCGATCGGCCGAATCGATTTAATGGCTCGGGGGGCGTCCGCGGATACTCCTTAAGGGTGCTCGAGTTTAGGAGGCGCTGCGGCGGACTGCGGCCGATACTGGGTACGGACGCATCTAGCGGCGACGGGGCAAGGCGCGACCTAGACCGCACTTATGCGCCCCTCAGGCATTCCGGGGAATGGCGCAACTTTATAGCTCTCGGAACGGGAGCGGTCCAGATTATGCGATCACATTCGCACTACGTCGGTGGCTGAGAGGCCGTTTGCACCCTAAACCGACGGCCTTATATTATAATAAGATATCCTTGAATCCCATAAGGGTAGCATAACGCACATAACCTTCGGAAACTTTCAAATTAGGATCATCTAGAGTCGAATTAGTCCGTATGGTGTTTCTTTTGAAAAACATTTATATTTTTTTAATGTGAAAAGTTGCCAAACGAGCAAACGGTTCACCTGATGTTAAGTGAATACCACCGCCCATGGACATCTGCTACACCCGAGGATTTGCAGATGCGTTGACAACCTTTTTGGAAATTGGACTCCGGCTAAATCACTCACCAGACAAAACGCGAAAGTATTTCTCATACTTCCACTTTACGCCAGTCTTCTGTGAGGTCGTGGTACTTACCCGGACGAGCCTGCCCATTCGTGCAACAGCCGAGGCTGCTGCGTGGCCCTACCACCGCAATATATAACAGAAGTATGATCAATAATACGTTGCAGCCCTATCTGGTACAAATAACTATAACGACTATTCGTTATAGGTTGATGTCTATACATCAATCTATAACTTGACAAACACGGGTTTTTCATATGAGCAACCGAGTAGTCGGATCAAAAGTATAGAATATATAAGTTACTTAGCTTCTAATGTATTTTATCATATTGATACTTTAAGTAACAACAATAGATAGTGATATAAGTATAACTCAGTTCGTTTTGAAAAGTCGTGTGTTGGGGGCGCACTTGCTAGCGACCGATTAATACTGCCTTTAAAGCGCGGTCGCTTCAGCCAATTGCCATTTACAAATTCACTTTTCCGTAAATACAAAATTCTATATTAGTTTCATTATTAGATACTGCAATTATCTCAATGAGTGATTCGTCACTTTTACTATTCGTTATCATCAAAAGGCATGATATATTATGTAAATAAAATAGATGATGTGATAAAACGCTTAAACGTGATAAATTTGGCATAACATTCGTCCACTATCATTCTTACTGCCTGTTATAAATCACAGGCAGTAAGAATGATAGTGGACACAGTGAGTGTCACATAGACTCCCAAGGTCTTCAACCAAGCATGGTCCTAAATTACATTTTTTCACACATTGAAATGTTCTTCACTATGTTATGGGCAAACTCTCTACAGCGTTGCTATATATGATATATATGAAAGTGAAGAGATATGTAATCTATGGCCGTTTGATAAAATATTAGCAGTTGTTTTCGTTACCAATTGCTAGTCGTAAAACTTTACTTTGCAAGTTATCGCCATTTCATTAAATAATTCGTAGGAATGATAGATTTCTCCAGAAAGTGCCCATCGCTCGCTGCCCGATGAACGTAGTTTTATTACCAAAAAAATTAAAGCCAGTCCGTTCTAAATTAGGCGAAACTTGTGCTACGTTGAAATGGGATCGGCGATAGGCGGCGATATTTAACGGTCAATTCGCAAATCGCGTGACCCTGTACTGATTAGACTTTATTGGGGGATCATCCTGGGTAAGGCATCGCATAAAACCGTGCGAAACGAGCCGGACCTAATAGCTTTTTTATTAGTCCAACGCTCCGGGACGCCTCTCGGGGAAATTTAGAGACACCCTTGGGGACGCCGCCGTTTGGTCAGTAGCAGCGAAATGGACAATCATCTCGTATATGTTCAATCAGAAACTCTATTAGTATCGCCTTTAAAAGTGATTGGTTAATTTTACTATGAACTGAAAGGGAAGAAAAAAAAAAGTAACACGTGTCTAATTACTAATACAATATACGAGTACTCGAGCAACCTATATACCTATATCTATACTTATAAAACTGTTTTAAGTCGATAAAATATTGTACCCCTGAAACTGCATTGAGCTTAATATATAACATAATAGTGCTAAACATTAAGTTAACCATTATCATTCTCAATAACAAATATATCGAACGGAGTGTCCTCCGGTGCTGTCATTCACAAAAGAGCAATATTATTCGCTCGGGCGCTGCCAGCCGATATTGTACCCCAAAACAATATTTGAAATGCAAAAGAGAAACATAAGTTTAACAAGTGCCATTATTAAGTTTACGAGGTCGCAGGGTGCCCGCGGGGCCTGGCTACTGGCATCCTTCGAACGACATGTACATTTATTAAACTTTTTAATTTATGGCCCTTTCCGCATAGTGCAGTTTATGTTTGTATTTTGCCCGTTTTATAGCAAATGTTTTTTTTTTTAATAGAATTTTGATGTGAAACATCTGTAGCCGCACGTAAAACCGATTTCCGTGCCGTGGCGACGCATCGCATGCATTTTTGTATTTAATGAAAATAAATGTTTATTCAATAAATAGTCATCGTTATCTGGAAAAAAAAACGTTATATTTTACTTTATCATTATGACATATTTAGTTCCTATCACAATCAGTTCTTTTCTGCATATTACTTTTACAAAATAATGTCGATGTTTCACATCTGCCAGGCGTCCCATGAC